AGATAACTTATTTTACTGGATATAGAGAAATAGTTGCCACTTTTCACTTGGCTGGCCGAGATTTCTTCATTTTAAGATTTTAGAATTTTTGTGTCGGATTGAAAAAGTTGAGCTTGATGGTGATGAATTTTCGGGGAGATGTGCTGCGGTTATTTTTATGAATGAATTTACTTGGCCTTGAGAAATACGCGCATGCGGTTATGAAAGAAATAGTTATTGTTGGATTTGAGTATGCGCCCTGTGGGGAAAATCTCTAGTTCTGAACTGGGGCGCTTCTAGTACATTTAGACCCAGTACTGGTTCGCGATAAATCTCTTTTGCATGCAAGCAACTGGCGAATTTAACATGGCGATGTCCTAGGAAGTGTCAATTGCCCCCCGCTGCATCCCTTTTTCGATAGTTCCGAACTAGTCCTAAATTCTATAGTTCCGAACCAGTTCTAAAATCGACAGACGAAAGAAAAAAGTATCATGATTTTTCAACCTTTCAGTTCTGTCGTGTGCGATTTTACATTATTTTCAAAGAAACGTTTTTTTCAATTTGAATTTAAATTTGTTTGAATGATTGTAAGAAATGTACGTTTACATACCTTGCTGTAGCTGACTTTGCAGAGGTGCTCGCTGTTATTGGTTAGATTCCAGACGGCCCCAAGATGTTAATATGTTAACACAAAGCTTTGTTTTGTATTACCAAAGTATGAAATAGCATCTGCGAAGCACAGAATAGAAGCGTATTTGAACGAAAAAGCCGCCGAACACATATCTATGTAAAGTAAACAAGCCCCTCGCTGCATCCCTTATTCGATAGTTCCGAAATAACTAGTTCTAAATTCGACAAATAGGATCTAGTTCGTTCTGCATCCCTTTTTCTATAGTTCCGAACCAATTCTAAATTCGTCACTTTAGATATAGATTTGTAGTGAAAAAAACTGAAAAAATTAGTTTCTTAAAAGTACCACTTTTCGCCGATTTTGGACTACTTCCTATCGGACTAGTTCCTTTTTGGCGATAAAGACCTAGTACGGAACTAGAAATTTTATTCACTAGTCCGCGGTTTCCCTGCAGGGCGTGTAATTATGTGCATATGTATGTATGCTGCCGTGAGTTGTAAATATGTACATTTGTGTGTATGGGCATAGTATTTTGGCAGTAATATGCACATACATACATATATATTTATGCATGTAAAAACGTTATCAGTTAATGAAGTACGTATGTACATACGTATGCATGGGGAAATGCATTTTAATTGGCTCCAAAACTATTGGGGCATATTCGTATATGAAATAACCCAGCGGTTGAAACTGGCCTGAAACAATGCCTTCTCTCAGGCCTGAATGGTAATAGTAAGTCCTGAGTTTTTAACACACCTCATGATCCCTTTTTCACATTAAAATGTCATTCTTACTGAACCCCTGACATCGTATAGCTAATATCCAGGCCTGAATATCCCAAAGAGTATTCCTTCGATAATTCAGACAATACTGAATAGGTACGGAAATTTCAGGCCTTCTATTAGGGACGAAATACTCAGGCCCGATTATCCAAAAGTAAAATTGGCTCCAAATAAGATACTTTATTAATTAAACAACAAGTCGGACACAATTTGGCTATTTTTTTAATTTTTATTTAATAAAATTAAAGTATTAATACATACGGTGTTTTATAAAGAACAATATAGAAATTTGAAATGGAAAAGTAAATAATGTTATGGTATTTCATTAGCGACAACTGGGTTGATTTGTTTCTAATTCTAAACAACATATTTGTAAGTACAAAGTTGAATAAAAAAAATTAAATAAAACAAGGGTCAAAAGTTAAGAATTCGAGGGGTTTTCTCCAGTAGCTGAATTAATATTTTTCTTTTTTTTCTCAGACTTAGCTTTATGAATTCTGTTTTTTAAAATCTTAAACGATGCTCTTATTTGCTTCACGTAGTCGTCAATTGTAATTTCTTCATATACGGAAATAGATTCTGGAAAACAAAATGAAAAGTTGTGATGTTAATAATATTCATACATATGTATGTATTGAACATATTCTAATTCATTGAAAGCAAAAGTGGAAAATCTATATCCAGGACTATATTGAAAGTGTTATAAGGGCAATAATAAAAAAAATATTATTTTCGAGCCCAGGAAGCTATATCTACTTAAAATGCATTGTGACTTACCAAATAGAATTTTATTGATGTTTTTGAATGATTTGAAAGCATGCATGCCCTGCGTTCCGTCATAATTCATCGACATTATCAAATCTTCTCCAAAAAAACAGTGCAGTTTTTTTGTTATTGGTAACTTTCCAAGGATGGTTCTTACGATTGAATTCTATTAACAGAAAAAATATTTTTAGTCGGGGTAAATTGCAGGACCCAACGATAAACTTACGATCTCGCTGTAGTTTTCATTGATATCCTTTTCTAATTTATCAAGGTCTTCCTTGTTTAAAATTGGAAACTAATTGGACTTCAGACTTCACATTATTTCATTTAAAAATCGATTGTAAAAGTGCGGTTCGTTTTGCTATCATGTCGACAATTTGTCCTTCCATTTTTTCGATGCGGTCCAGCCATTTTCCCATGTTCTGCAGCTCAGCCATCACAACCTCCATAGGTAGAACTATATGTAAGTATATAAAAAATTAAATCCTTAGAAAAAGCTTAAAACAACTGAGTGAAGTTTACGAATAAAAGCGCTAACAGATACTACAGTAAGCGTAATTCGTTTCTCTTACATTTTTCGCCACTGTTTTCGTCTGCGCCGTCATCAGATGTGTTTGATGAGTAAAGTTTTTGTTGAAGCATTTCGTATATTGCGTTGAATTTGTTTATTTATGTATTTTGCTTTTAAAATTTATGTTAAATTATTACTTTATTATTTATAAAATGTTTTTATTTTTGTGATTTTTTAATTTATGATATAAGTAAGGATTGGAACCTACTACTTAATCTGATGTAAAATTGGAATAAAAACGTACTTGTCCTGGTACGGTAAGCACACAAATTTGCAAAATATCTCACTGAGTGAGAAAATATGATCACCATCTGTTTCTCTGTTATCGCAAAGGTATACTCCTATTTCGGCTGAAGTTATAGGCAATTCAAAAAGGTTATTGAATTTGTTGTATTCTCTACCTAAGATGCTATTTTCGTCTAAAAATTTTGTGATTTTGAAAACTTTTTTAGATTTGAGGCAACAAATATTGTCAGGTTCTGTTGTACTTAAAAACATCTCATTTAACATGCAATTCAGTATTTCATTTCTACAATATCTAAATACCGGCTTCTTCGGGGGACTCATGATATTATCGTTATTATACTGGTTATAGAGCTGCTTAAGAATATTTGTGGGACTTCTAATATTTTTTTTAATATCTTGAAGACCGTTTTCGAAAGGATAAGCTGAAAATTAATTTATGGCGCCAAAGGAGTTTACACAGTGCGTTAAGTGTAAAAGATTATGCACATTGTAAGTAACACTCTTTTTCTCATAAAAGTTAGAAAAACAGCATACAAAGTCTGAAAACATTTGATTGGCAATATTTAAATGCGACTTGAAGTTTTTTGGGCACGAAATTAGCATGTAAGCACAAAAAATAAGTAAGTGATAATAAAAATCGTCATCCAGGATATCTTTCAAAATAACAACTCCAGTATATAGAATAAATAATCTAAATTCAGTTGCCTTAAATCTGTTCACATCAACGAAGCTTCTTGGTTTTCATGAGAACTCACGTGGTATATAACCAACCAGTGACAATTGCCGCCCAAACATCTCATCTCTTTTTGCTTTCGACAGCTTTGTTACAGTTTTGCCTTCAATAATATATTGAATCATTTTGCGTGCAACGCCTAAATCAATCAGATGCATCGGGTCCAATGGAAACTGCGATACCATCCTAATACCTAAAGCTTCTAGTGAAGTCTTCACTGTTCTGAAATATGCTTGGTGATGATTTATGTGCGCTCTATTTTCAAAGCTTTCGTCCGTCTCATTTTTGTGGTTGGTATTTCCGACAGGGTAGGAGTGTGATGTAATGTGGAACGATTTTCCGTCATCCCTTGTCAAATTTGGTTTGACAAGGGATGACGGAAAATCGTTCCACATTACATCACTTTCGTCTGTCCTTAAAATTCCAGATGAGTTGCTAAAAACCGTAGTGAAATCTATTCTTTGACCAACTTGTAAACATTTGGTGCACCCGTTGAAAGAATTGTGACCAACAGTACCAGTAAGGAATGATCGAGCTGGAGCATCAGCAATAAAGCAACGTATGTGAAACTTAAGAATTTTTTCTTGTATAACCAGACCATCAACTTTAAGTTTCTTAACTTCATTAACAAAATCGTGCAAAAAACTATCTATATTATTCGGCTTTCCTGGTCCTACATATGCTCCAATTATAAAAACTTTAACATTTGGTGTATTCACTACTTTGCCCATGATAGGCCATAAAGCAGTGGAACAACTTTTGAACAATGATAAACCATCGACACCAATGTCTATTAGAATCACCTCTTGGTCCTGCAAGGACTCAATTATCTCTAACTGATTTTTCACACCACGCGTCAATAATTTGTGGATTTTCGATTTCATCAGGCTTCCAACACTTCGAGGAACGGAAAAGTTTTCCTCGTTCAGTTTTATCAAAAGATTTTCCGCACAGCTTCTCGTGGGTTTCGTTTCTTTGTACCACTGAGCTAGTATGGTTTTTAAGTCAGTACTTTGTCTTCTTCGAGAATAATTTTGTATGGCTATTGTTTTTACACTGTCTGGTCTTAATGAATTAAAATCAATTAACGGAGTCTCTTCCTTTGTTTTAGCATGTTCATTGCTGCTGCTATTTATTTTCGCCCAAGCAGCGTCTCGTTCTTTTCTTATAAGGCGCTTGAGAAGCCTGTTGCTCACACTCGCCATTTTTATTTTGTAATCTTAATCGGTTTTTTCTTACCTATTGCAGAAATATTTCTATTTATATTTTTGTAATTATTTTTGTTTAATTATTTTATTGTTTTTATTAATATATTTAAAATGACTACACAATTTTCCTGTGCCTTCTTTTTTGGAATAAATTTGAAATAAAAAAGCAAACGAAGTGTCATTCAACGGTTGTTCATGTTCGTAAAATTTCCCATTTCCTCGGGTGTATTTTGTATTTGTAAATTTTCGTTTCCAACTCAAAGCATTCGAAATCGTTCGGAGGCATTACGCCTTTGCTGCTATTAGCAGGCGCTCCCTCAGGTGTGAGTACAAAAAATAAAAAATATAAATACCATGGGAAATTTTTGGGACGTTTAAAGCTATCTCAAATGGAAATGCTTATTCTAAAATCAGGTAAAAACTCTCGCCTGTGATTTCAGAGCTAACCAGATCTGATCTCACAACTGATTGCAGCAGGTATACCAATTGTCAACCGCTGGGTATGTATATGTACACACATATATGTATATATGAACGAACTCATTGCGCATTTCAGCTCTGCCGCTACCAAGCAATATGGGCCTGTTCGAGGCACGTAATAAAAGCGGCATTACTGCCGTACTGATGAAAAATGGCAACATTGTTGCAACTACCCAACTGATAATACATTGCTAGAAATTCTCACCAGAAAAAATTAGAGTTTCTTATCTAGTTATCCATGATTCTTACAGAACGCTATACTTTAATAATTCGCGCAATACTGCGGTTGTGATTACAACTCGAACAAACCCTATATGTATAAATGATGCAAGAGTGCTTCGCGTAACTACATCCATTCGTACATATGTACATATGTTTGTATGGATATAGTTATGATGAAGCAAACGGGCTTCGTTGATATACCCTGCAAAAAATTGTGCGACTAATCTCTAAAGAGAGTATTCCGAGATTACTCTCAATCGGGTACAATTGGGCATTAATTAGTCCCAACTAGTCTAATACGGGTACTAATGGAGCTCAATTAGTCTCGACTCATCCCTTATGGGTATAATTGGAGATCAATT